CATGACTTAGTATCACTGCAGTGCTATTAAAAGGGTCATTAGACTGTACTCATTATTTACCTTGGGTTAAATGTTAACTTTGATGTCTTGGAATACAAATTTTCAAGTTAGGCTTTTTTACTAGCTTGCTTCTTGGATGGGGACCTTAGTTAGCATCCATTTCCCAGGATAACCTATATGGATATCATTCCTCCTCTCATCTTGGAAGTGAGGCTGTCCGAAGCCTAAAGCCTGCAAGATGGCTGGTCACTCTCAAAGCAAATGAGGTCACCAATGGAGCTTTGATATGAAACATGAAGAAACTTGATATTAGTCTCGGCTCTCCTAAATAGAGAAACTTAAGAGTTATAAAAAGATCTATCAAGCTTCCTCATTTCTGACCACTGATCCAAAGAGTATTCACATAAGTCAGTCTGCTAGATTCCAGGATGTGTTTGGGGACTCATAGAAAACCAGTGAATATATTTCTAGGAAAACAGATGGTCTCACTGACATTCAGTGGACAGGTGTATCAGCATGGTTATAGACAGACAGAGGAGTGGGGAAAGAACAGAACCAGGAAGGTACAATCATGCTGCCCATATTCCATTTCCAGTTTTATTTTCTTAAAATGATAAGATGAGAAACATTTCTAATAAGCACCATTGAAAAATGTTACCCTGCCAACTTGGGCATGGGCTTAAATATTATTTAAATAAATTCCATTTCTTAAAAAATACAGGACCTTTTAGAAACTTTTGACTCTAGGAAGAAATTTCCTTCATCCTATCCAAAACACTTCCCACTACAACACATGGAATTTCTGATGACCTTAAAAAAATGCTATGGGGTAATGGCTGAATAGCACCAAGAGCATGTGCAGGGTTTACAAGTGAACACTCTGGATTTGGGTGAGCTGGATCAGTCTCAGCTATTCTGTGAATCTTTGCATTCTGTCCATCACCAATTTGACTATGCAAAGCAATCCCATTTGACCAGCTGTATGTAAAATAACCGAATCTACCATGGAAAAGCCAGTAGCAGCAAGTCTATCTGATGAAACCAGTGGAGCAGACTTATCAAGTGGGCATAATGCCAAAACCAGCACATAATGCATGAAGTAAATTATGTGTGGAAAGTATCAATGGCCAGCTGTGAAAAACCAAGACAAATGACACTGAACACAACTTGTGGGATGTTCTTAATGCCCTTAGGTCCAGTTTTCTGCCATTTCCCCCAACAGTGGACTCAAGCATGAAAAATGATGGATGCAAGAGCTTTCTGTTTCATTTTGATCTATGTCTGCTCTTGTGATGTTTTTGAAAGGGATTTTTAGGCGTCTCAATGGGGGAAGCAAGCAAGTAAATGCAAAAGGAAAAAAAAAACAACACAAAAACGGACCTTCAAAAACAGGGCAGGAAATCAGATCATTACTTTAACGTCAAATTTTGGCATCAGATGCTTTGGTCATACAATACTGTCTCTGTGGTTCTGGCTGTTTAGCACGAAACACCCAGTTATAAAAGGTAGGCTTGTTGTAGGTTTATTTCTTTTTCCATTAAAGTTCTGACAGAACAGTTCACCATCTCCCTGCACAAATTGGAGCGAGAGAGAAAAAGAGAGCAAGAAAGAGAGAGGTGGCTTGCTTTTTTTTTTTTTTTTGCTTGTTTTTTTCTTTTTAATAATAATATGGAGTAATCTATAAGTCTACAGGAACAAAGGAATCTAGGATGGCAGTTCAGCCTTGGAATGTACATGTTTTGCAGCACAGTTGTTGAAGAACCTTCCGCTGGCACAGATTGTTCTTTTTCACTAGCATACAGAAGCCTCCTTCCGCCCAGGACTCTTCCGTTGCTTTTCCAGGAAGTCAGCAAGAGACAGGGGAAGTTGAGGACGAGAGCAGCATGATGGACACACATGGAAGAAGGTTGTGATTGGCCAGAGAGGCAGATTGGGGGGATTGGAAGAGATCATTCGGGAGCAGTCAACAGGAGGAAATTTGGTCCACCCAAAGTGATTTCAGTCAACAGCATTGTTTTCAAGAAGCATTGTTTTGCAGTCCAACGGTAAATGTGATTGGTATCCATTTATGAAAAGGAAAAAAGATTAGAAAAAGAATAAATTAGAAATCAATAAAAATACAAGCGAGGATTTTTCTTTCTGGAATTACCTAGAACAGAGCATCTACACTCATTTACACCATATTTCATTGAGTCTAAGACACTGGGTTTCAGATGCACCACTTTTTTAAGTACTGCCAAGAAAAATTCTTATTAAACGGTGACACAATAACCTTTTGTCAGTTAGCATATTAGTTTTATGCTTATAAAAGTATTTGCATAACATACTGTTTTTTCCTGGGCTTATGTAATAACTCTTCCTTTGAATATTGAGAAATAGTTTAACTTCTTAAAGCTATTAGGAAGTGCAATTAAATGCCACATAAGTAGGAGTGATCATGTGCCTCAGTTGACTAGATATATCTGTGACTAAGTCACAGGCAATGACAACTACATCACATCAACCTGTGGATGAAAGCAGTTGCAAGCTGCCATGAATTATAAGATGCATCTGATTCCAGAGCTTTAAAATATACTAAAAAAGTGTCTTAGAATCACTGAAATATGACAGTGGAAAGAAAATAATAACACATCCCTAATAGCACATGGCAATTGCCATGTGATTTGAAAAGCTGAGTGAGCCATCAATGATCTCATTCTTTAACCTACCTGAAAATGGACTCATCACAAATCATGGTTCTTCATTTTCCACTTTTGCCCACAATCCTGACACTCTACTTATGCCATTGGCATAAGTGATTCCGTGCTTACATATGGTTTAGGGAAAGCAGTTGAAAGATCATAAACCTTGAAATGCCTGTTACCAAGTACTATGGGTGAACCTCTCAAGTCATAGTGCATCTTTTGGGTCAATGGCTTAAAAATCTTCCTTGGTTTTCAGTTACTGGCTTACACAAATTCTGATCATATTCAGATAGAGGGGGATCAACTTTTAACATGAGGGTAAGGATCACTGGCTGATAATTAGAAAGTAATACTTACATGGTATCTGGGGTGTCATCACTCCCAGTCTTCTTACCTGAGTGTTGTGTGGTGAGAATTAGCCCTGGCCATGAAAAGTCTGAATGCAGAGCCTGAGCAGGTCTGCCTGTCCCTGCCAGGTCAATCATACATTAGAAGAGCTATGAAGATGCAAAGTCACTTAGACGCTCTGTGGATATGAGAGCATAAATGATTTCCCTACTGGTGCCATCACACGCTCAGATATTTTTGTTGTTTTAGATTCCTAATGGGAAGTTATCAGATAACCATATGAGGGCAACAGTATTATCCTTTTTATTTTTACAAATGAGGGCCGTGAGGCCAAAAAAAACTCATAACCTGTCTAAGGTCTGGAGTCTAGATAAGAATGATGCATTCTGACTTCTGAATCTACATTCTCCCAACCATAGCACTCTTCTGCCTCTTGTGAAATTTCCAAAGAGGAACCATGCAAAGGAACACAAAGATTAAACACAGGGAAATTATTTTATCAGGGAAAACGGTTCCAAATGCATCATTTTTTATTTTCCTATTTCCCTAACAGTCCAAGATGTTTAGAACAATGATGGTTCAAATATTTTATTTCTACATTGTTGAGAAGCACATCTGCATTAAGTCTAGGCACAAATTTAAGAGTCCTCTCTGCACGAATTATATCTAGAGTCAAAACTCACAAGAGATTGGAGTTGGAATAATTTAAATTCATTCATTTTATGGGTAGGGAAATGGTGGAGGCCAAAAAAGTGAGAGAACTTGGCATTTGCCAAATTATCAGAGTGAATGGCTGCACATTAAAAACACTTGAGAAGCTTCTAAAGCTATCAGTGCTTTACCCCAAGACCAGTTTAAATGAATCTTGGGGGAAGGTGTGGGGTCCTGGCCTTTTGGTTGAGAACTACTGGTGGAATGAAAAGAAAAATGGACCAATATTAGCATTAGAACCAATTTGTAAGTGGTTTTATCATTAGACAGATGCCTACCTATCACGGCTTAATAAAAGATTCAGATGCCATTTGATTGTTATTTACATATCAAAATTATAAACAATCCAAATAAGAGTAGAATGGCAATAAACTGTGGCATATCCACAAGGTAGACTATTAAGCTATTATTAAAAGTGAAGTTTCTGAAGATTTTGTAAAAACATAGGGTAGCATTTATCTAATGCTTAGAGCAGAAAGCAAGGTACAAAACTCTATGTGGTATTTTAAAAATCTAGCAAAAATTACATATGACGGAAGACTGGAAAACAATACAATATGTAGCCTTTACTAGTTAGTGTTTGTATGATTCCAACTATAAGCCACTCTGGGAAAGTCAAATCTATGATGACAGTGAAAAAAAAAATCAGTGGTTTCCAGAGGGAAGGAAGAAGGAAGGGATAGACAGAGCACAGAGGATTTTCAGGGTCGTGAAGGGTGATCTGTGTGATATTACAGTGGCGGATACTTGTCTTTATACATTTTTCCAAACTCATAGAACACCAAAAGTGGACCCTAATGTAAACTGTAGATTTTAGTGACAATGATGTGTCAGTGTTGGTTCATCAACTGTAACAAACATACCACTCTGGTGAGGGATACTGATAGTGAGTGACAGTGTGTGTGTATATGTGTATGTATGTAGTGTGGTCAGAGGATATATGGGAATTCTCTGTACTTTCTGCTGAATTTTGCTCTGAACCCGAAGCACTAAAGTTTTCAAGAACAAAGTTTACTAATTAAGAAAAATTAACTGGTGCCATCTTGGTCAGTGGATGCTTTAGTTCTTCTTGCAGTTAAGACAACCAGGAAACTAAACCCATTGAAGGTGTAAGTTCAAGGAACACCAACAAGACATCAGCATGTCCTATCTGAGACATGCTTGATAGTTAATATTTTCAAGTGGAAATATATATTAGACCTTAACGTGGAAGGATCACACTGTTCTCAGAAGATCAAAATAAGTGGTTGTACTCACCGTCTTTGCAGATGGCCCCCATCTGACACATTCCTAAGTCTAAGAGATACCCACTGGGACAGCTTGTACAGTTCTTGATCCCTGGACCATTGCATGTCAAACAGCTGGCGTCACATCTATGGGGAGAATGTACAATGCATCATCCTCTCACACGTCAGGCACAGGAAAAGGTGTGTTTACTGTCCGTCTCTTAACATCTTACATTTAATTCTCCCTTTGAAGATGCCACAAAAATATTTTCTGAAATGCATTGCTTTAATTGACAACATTAAAGAAAACCTAGCAGGTAGACTGGTTTTAAAGAGGAGAGAGCATGCACTTGAAACAGAAATACAACTTTAGAAGTTTTAAAGTACTCCTGAGGCACACACACACAAATCAGTTGGGTTTAAAGCTGTAGAGAGGTAGTGTCCATAGGTAAATGTTTGTACCTTATTTTTCATTAATAATTGTACGTTTCATATTATTTATGAAGGCAGTCAAATAAGGAACCCAGTGGCCACATGCTGGGGCTTAAATGGGGGGGGGATCCACTTACTTTTTGCAGGATTTGTATCCATTTTCTGAAGCGTGGTCAGAGTAGTAGCTGATACTACAGCTGTGCACGCACCTCCGCTCCTCCATGAAGTAGCCCCCTGTGCAGTTAATACACCCGTCAGCGCCCGCGCCTTAAAAGCAAGACAAATGCAGGAGACAGAAACAAAACCTCAGAAAAGGTTGCCCAGCAGGCTGCTTTTTGCATAATTGGTGAAAATGGCATTCATAGGTTGCAATTTTGAGACCTGTAACATTTGTGCTTTTCCTTATGTTCTCTGGGGGAAAACTGCTTCAGTTTTAGATTGAACCCATTTGCCAAAAAACATCAAACCTCTTTTGAAAGCGAAGGAGGTATCGCTGGGACATTTTAAATTTTCATTGAGGTTAGGCTGCTGATGACTGACATTTGAGGATGCATGATGACTGTCAGAAGAGCTCCATGCTTCCCCAGCATTTACACTAAAATTATCAAGAGGTTGCCTGCACACGTCTTGCATCTACCCTTGGCTTCCTTCGAATGTATTTTCAACACAGAAGTTTGAGTACTACTGTTAGATTTAAAATCGAACCCAGATAGGAAAAGACAAATACCTCATGATCTCACATAAATGTGGAATCTAAAAAAGAAGTCAAACTTATGAAAGCGGAAGTAGAAGGGGGGCTGTCAAGGACCTGGGGTGGGGAAATGAGACCTGGATCCACAGGTACAGCTTCAGTTATGCAGGATGAATAAGTTCTGGAAATCTAACGTACGCCGTGGTAACTATAGTTAATACTGTATTGTATACTCAAAACTCAGCTAAGAGAGTTGATCTTAAGTGTTCTCACCAGACACAAACTGTGTGAGGTGATGAATATGTTAACTACCTTGTATTATGTATATCAAAACATCACACATACATCTTAAAGTATATAATTTTTGTCAGCTATGCCTCAGTAAAGCTAGAAATGTAAGTGTAATTAAAAAAAAATTACCAAGAGGGTGTGCATGACTGATGGATAAAGACAGACAAACGAAAGCCAAACCAGAGCTAGAGGGATAAATAAGAGGAGCGGGGAGGCGGTACCAGTACAGGTGGCGCAGAAGCGGTGGCAGGGCTGGCAGTCTTGGCCATTGAAGTACCATCCATCCTCACAGGTGACGGCGCACCGGGACCCCTGCAGGCTGAAGACACAGACGGCTGTGGTCGGGCAAAGAGGTCATGACTCCCCAGGGCCGTATGGAACACACACAATTTCCCCCAGAGGTCAGTGGATTTGGGAGAACTTCAAAGCAGGTGAAATAGCCCCTGTCCCCTGTTTTTTCTCCTCCTGATGCCTAGAATGCTTCTCTGTGCTTGTAATAAGTCTGTAGCCTACACATGTGCTGCAAGTTTGGAGGACATGCCTCTTAATTATGAGACTGGCTGACACATTTTTTCTTCACTCAACATTTTACAACCTGGAGGTTTTTAAAAGTATTTTATGGACCAAAACAATCACCTTACCTAACAATAGGCCTACCAATCCCAGACCTTCTAGACCTACTCCACGATAAATGTTGTTCTGTAACTGTATATGTCGTAGGAATACGTGGTAAAATGGAATTATACCTGAATAGAAGGGTACAACTATCCCACCCAACCCTCAGCTCAAACTCCCTGGAATAGCCTTTTTAAAATTTTAACTGTTTCTGATTTTAGTTCTTCTCTTGGAACAAAACAAGAGAATCCTAACATACTTTTGCTTCTATTGCTTCATTTATTAAATGCTAATGAAATATTCGGCAAAATTATTCACTTATATTGCTGCTTCACCAAACATCTCAACTTTTCTTAGTTACATTATTATTTACTATTTTTATGTGTTATCTGTGCTATGTTTTCTCTAAATAGCACTCTTAGGCATTACCTAATATGTTGCTAGAATGTCGAATGAGGAATGTGTATTTTTTTCTTCTAATTTTTTATCACCTGTAAGGTTTTTCATAGCCTACAGACTGATTCTTTTTTTTTTTTTTTTTACAGACTGATTCTTAAAAACAAATGTCTAAAATTTACAGCATTTAATATACAAACATTACTCATGGAATAACTCAGTAGTGAGACTGTTACCATAACCCCATGTCACCCAGTAGACAGTTCTAGAAAATGGGTATCTAAGCAACAGAGTCAAATGCTTTCTGTGTTCTTACAGAAAATACGTTTCTCTACGTTGCTGCAATTCACATGTTACTTGATTGTGCTTTGTATATGGATCATACTACTAAAAACTAACATTCAGTTTTCCCTTTATTTTTTATAATATATGTATATAAATATTTTTATATATTTATTTTTCTCTTTAAAGTAATTTGGAAAGAACAAAACCAAAGTAGATGAAAAAGAATCCCAAACAGTCCCGTTCACATTTTAATCCATATCCTTCTAGTATTTTATGCATAGATATTTTTCTGTTTACTTAGCCACTATTTAAAAATTTACAGGTCTTTTGAGGCAAAATGGTCAACGCTAGAAGCCCCTAAGAAAAACAAAGGGAGCCTCAAGAAGACAGAAAGTGTATTTCATTCATAGATCTCTTCTGGCCAGAGAGGTGTCATTTAAAAAGCCAATAAAAGAAAATCCCTTTCCTTTTGGTAGAGCTGGAAAAAGGGGACAGTGCATCAAATGAATCCTTTTGTGGGAGGAAATAGGACCACTGATAAACTTATCAAAGTTTTTTTTTTAAAGCTGCCTTGTTTTTCTACCAAAGGAAATTACTTCTGAGGTTGTCCCTTGCAGTGTGTGAGGAGGGGACATGCGGCAGAGCACCCCTGGGAACTGGGATGCACTCTGCTACTTCCAAACTCCGGGGGTGGCGAGGCAAGCAAACCTGGTACTGGGTTCATGCTGGGATGAGCCAGCTGAGTTAGATGTGTGCCGTCCCACATGCTGTAGCACCTGTGGGCTCGAGAGCACTTGAAATGTGGCTAGTGTGGCCAAGGCACAGAATTTAACGTTTTATTTTCGTTCATTTCACTCTAACTCTTACAAATTGGCACTTGATTCAGTTATCAGAAAACTTTTGAATAAGTGTGGAACAACTTGGCTGTCTAAAATCTACTTCAACTAAATTTTTATAAAATCTATATACAGATCAAGTATTTCTCAAAAAATTACTGTCTTAATTGAGATGTGCTTTAAGGGTGAAATACACACCAGATTTCGAAGACTGGGCACTACAAACAAAATATAGAATATCTCACTGATTATCTTTCATATTGTCTTATATTGATTACATGTTGAAATAATATTTTGGATATATCTGGTTAAAGATTTCATTAAAATAAATTTCACCTGTATCTTTTCACTCCTTTTAATGTGGCTACTCACATATTTAAAATTAATATATATGGCTCTCATTTCTATTAGAGAACTTTTTTACTCTAGAGAATGTTCCCTAAGAAATATAGAAAATAATCCTGATCTTCTATTTCTCATGGGCCAATTCAGTGTCAGATATTGGAATAAGTGCTTTATAGATGTTATCACAATTAATCCTTATCATAATCCAGCAATTTTGAGGTTAGTATTACCCTTTTATAGATGAGAAAACTGAAGTTCAGAGGAGTGAACGGACTTAACCAAGATCACACAGCTGATAAATGGCAGAGAAAGATTTAAACCCACATTTATCTTCCTTTTTTTAAAAATTATAACAGTCTGGTCCTTCTCCAAAAAAGTAGTAGGATGCTGACTAGACTGATATTTAACAAAACTGAAGTCTTGAGATGAAAGGTGCAAAACAAATGGACACTGAATGCATTTATGGGGGAAAAAAGAAAGCCACAAATAATCAATTAATCTAAATAAAAATTATGTTCCCCTATTAATTAACATAAAAGATTGCCTGCCTAGAAACTGCCTAGACCCTGATTATTGTGCCTTTGATCAAAAGTGGAAATAGAGGTACTAAGTGAAGTCACTCAGTTGTGTCTGACTCTTTGCGACCCGGTGGACTGTAGCCTACCAGGCTCCTCCAAGCATGAGATTCTCCAAGCAAGAATACTGGAGTGGGTTGCCATTTCCTTCTCCAGGGGATCTTCCCAGCCCAGGGATCAAACCCAGGTCTCCTGCATTGTAGGCAGATGCTTTACCCTCTGAGCCATCAGGGAACTCTTAAAAGGGATGGAATGGAACGGAATTCTAGCTTTATGTAATAAAGCCAGGGTCCAGCCCCTCACTCAGAATGGGATGATCCGACCTTCTTTAAGGATATCAAGAATACCTAGTCACTTGAGCTGGGTGTTATTCTCTCAAAATCTATCAACTGTCTGGCTTTAGCAATGAGCAAGTCTCATCCATTCAAGGATGACATCTCCTGCTATTAAATCTATGTGCATACCACAGCATAATGGAACCAGCCTGAGGTGCTTAAGATAAGACAATGATTGGCTATATGGAGAGAAATAATAAAGATAAGGGAATAGTTTCGACCATCAAAGGAATGAATCAGGGGGATTAAATGTAATTCATTGATGTTACCTACGCAGTAATTCTTGACTGATACACTGCCGGTCAAAAAGCCCAAAGAAAGTCTCTCAAATGGCCATTTATTTACTTGTAGTTGAGCCATCTTTTCTAAAGAGAATTTTATTTGGCTTATAAACCTTCTGAAGCCAAGATAGCATGCAATTTTTCACATAAAATGATAGAGATAATGCAAATAACAATCAAGTGTTTGAATGGGAGTCAAACCAAGGGTGACTTATAAGAGAGTTACCTATTTACTTTTTTTCTTTTTTTAAAATGGCTATGTTACTTGGTGAAATCTTTCACACTCTTACCTTAACCCCTCCCTGCATTCTGTACAGTTGTCAGATTCAGTACATGTCTTGCAGTTTTCATTGCACTTCCGGCAAAGACTTTTCTCTGTTAAAAAAAAAAAGGAACAAGGTTATAAATCAGTTGGTTAGCTGGATTTCATAAAAGCATATGTTCTAATGTTTGCTAATGTATGCTGTAGTATATATGGTTTTGGGTAGGAGATTGTAGGAAAAGCCCCAGACTCAACATTTGCTATCACTTCCCAGCAAATCAAATACAGGTAGGAATATATAGCATTGGGAAATACCTTAGTGATATCTACCAGTTTGTAGACAAGAAAGCTACAGCCCACTTAATTCTTAAATAGTTTATTGGTTTTTTCTTCTTCCTATTCTCTTTCCCAAGCAGAGCTTCCTAACTTCCAACAGTGAAAATCTCACTAATGAAGCTGGGGCACATCACTAGTAAGTACAGAGAGGCAACACTAGCAGCTGAAGAATGGAATGGTAGACCTCATGCTCACAGCTTTAAGGACTATTCCGATGAACAACACTGAAAAGGGGAACCTACTTTTAAGATCGCAAGGTAAGGGTTGATTATTTCTTGCATTGTTTTTCTTGTCTTAAAGTTTATACAAGCTGTGGAATCAATATAAATGTTACTATATTTCAGATAACACATTTCTGGAGAACAGAAACATATTTGGATGAACAAATACACCGTGAATACTGGCTTTCTTGTTTAATAACCAAACATTGAGGCGGGGGTGGGGGGAGGTTGAGGGGGGATGGCAAGTACATTACTGTCCTGTGGTGGAAAATGGTGATGTTATATGGAAAATATAGTGGAAAATGGTAAAAGTAAGGCCTTTGACCTCAGGTGAGATTTTTCTGGAGACTTTGATCCCTTCCCTGAGATGCCGGTGGATCCTAACTTCAGGTATATATAGAACCGAATGAAGCTTTGTCCATAGGCTTCTGTCTGCTCTTTAAACGCTGGTGTTCTTCAGGGTTCCACAGAGAAGCACTGCTTCACTGGATCCCTCTAAGGATCTCCTAGAGGTCTAGCTCCTTTGTCAATTCTGAGCTCCTTGGCATGAAATACAAAGTTCTTCACCGTCTATGACCTCCCGATCATAGGGTCATCGAGAATGCTGGACATGGCATAGGACGTGAAGCCAGAGGACCCGGAGTGGCATTCTGCTCTTAGCATTTCTAGTGGACAAGTTCACAATCTCTGTTCATTTGTTAACTAAGTATTACAATGATGACTACCTCTGAGCTGCTCTTGAGGAGTTAATGACCTTACTCAAGGGAACTGTAGATATGTTGGCAGTAATTATTGCCAGTCACATACATATCACTATGCTACATGTAAATGGACTTTTTAAAGGAGGAAATTAAAAGGCAATTGCCTAGAAGGAGAGAGATGCACAGACTACTTGTATCAGTGAGTGAAGTGAAAGTTGCTCAGTATCTGTGACTCCTTGCGACCCCATGGACTATACAGTCCATGGAATTCTCTAGGCCAGAATACTGGAGTAGGTAGCCTTTCCCTTCTTCAGGTGTATCAGTGAAGTAATTGTTTAAATAGCCTTCTTTAATTGTCTACCTTTCAGGCTCTGGCAAAAGAACTGATTATGTCAATTATCATTTTCCTATCATGTACCACCTAGATTTCTTTTCCAAGGCTCAGCCTTCTTGATAGAATTTTGATTTTTTTCCTCAAGAAATAATACTTGTTTCTGATCCCTTAAAATTTTTTTTTAAGTATAGTTGATTTATAGTGTTTATTACTGCTGTACACAGTGATTCAATTATACATTTTATATACATTCTTTTTAAAATTTCATTTTCCACTGTAGTTTATCATAAGATATTGAATATAGTTCTGTGTGCTATACAGTAGGACCTTGTTGTTTATCCATTCTATACATAAAAGCTTACATCTGCTAACCTCAAACTCTCAGTCTATCTCTTCTCCAGCCCCTTCTTCCTTGGTAACCACCAGTCTGTTCTCTTTGTCCATGATTCTGTTTGTTTCATAAATAAGTTCATTTGTGTCTTATTTCAAATTCACATATAAGTGTTATAATATGGTATTCATCTTTCTCACTTCACTTAGTATGATAATCTTTAGTTGCATTCATGTTGCTACAAATGGGATTATTTCATTCGTGTCTATGGCTGAGAACTGTTCCATTGTGTGTGTGTGTGTGTATACACACCATATCTTCTTTATCCATTCATCTGTCAATGGACATTTAGGTTATTTCCATGTCTTTGCTGTTGTGAATAGTGCTATTAACACAGGGGTATATGTATCTTTTTGAATTACAGTTTTGTCTGGATATATGCTGAGGAGTGGGATTGCTGGATCATATGATAGTTGTATTTTTAGTTTTATAAGGAACCTCTATAATGTTTTCCACAGTGGCTTATCAACTTACATTCCTACCAGCGGTGTAGGAGGGTTCTCTTTTCTCCACATCCTCTCCAGCATTTCTTTTGCAGACTTTTAAATGATGGTTATTTTGACTATTGTGAGGTGTACCTCACTGTAGTTTTGACTTGCATTTCTCTAATAACTAGCCATGTTGAGCATCTTTTCATATGCCTGTTGGCTATCTGTATTTCTTCTTTGGAGAAATGTGTATTTAGGTCTTTTGCCTATTTTTCAGTTGTTTTTTGTTGTTGTTGTTATTGAGTTGTACAAGCTGTTTGTATATTTTGGAAATTCATCCCTTGTTGATCAGATCATTTGTAGATATTTTCTCCCATTCTGTAGGTGGTTTCTTAATTTTGTTTATGGTTTCCTTTGCTATGCAAAAGCTTGTAAATTTGATTAGGTCCTGTTTACTTTTGATTTTATTTCTATTGTCTTAGGAGCCTAAGGAAACAGTGGTACGATTTATGTCAGAGAATGTTTTGCCTGTGTTCTCTTTATGGTATTACATCTTATGTTTAAGTCTGCAAGCCATTTTGAATTTATTTTTGTGTATGATGTAATGGAGTATTCTAACTTCATTGGTTTACATGTGACTGTCCAACTTTCCCAACACCACTTGCTGAAGATATTGTTTCATTCCACTGAATATATGTGTCTCCTCTGAAGATTAATTGATGATAGGTGTGTGGGTTTATTTCTGGGATCTCTCCTGAAGTTGATCCATATGTCTGTTTTGGTGGCAATAGCATAACGTTTTGATTACTGTAGTTTGTGGTATTGTCTGAAGTCTGGAGGGTTATACCTCTTGATTTGTTCTTTTTCTTCAGGATTGTTTTGGCAATTCTGGGTCTTTTATGGTTCCATATGAATTTTAGGATTATCTGTTCTAGTTCTGGGCTCCCCTGGTAGCTCAGTTGGTAAAGAATCTGTCTGCGATGCAGGAGACCTAATGTTATGGGAAATTTGATTTGTTGTTCAGTAGCTCAGTCATGTCTGACTCTGTGTGACCCCTTGGACTGCAGCACACCAGGCTTTCCTGTCCTTCACTGTCTCTCAGAGTTTACTCAAACTCATGTACATTGAGTCGATGATGCCATCCAACCATCTCATCCTTTGTTGCCCCCTTCTCCTTTTGCCCTCAATCTTTCCCAGCATCAGGGTCTTTTCCAGTGAGTCAGCTGTTTGCATCAGGTGGTCAAAGTATTGGAGCTTTTGGTAATTTAGGGATCACATTAAACTTATAGATCGCTTTGGTAAGTATGGCCATTTTAACAATATTAATTATTCCAACCCAAGAGCATTAGGTATCTTTCATTTCTTTGAATCATCTTTGGTTTCCTTTATTAATGTTTTATAGTTCTCAGCAAGTAAGTCTTTCACCTCCTTGGTCACATTTAATCCTGTCTTTTATTTTGGGGGTGTAATTTTAAAAAGATTTTTTTTTTAATCACTCCCTTTCTTATTTCTTTGTTGGTATAAAGAAGTGCAACTGATTTCTGTATGTTAATCTTATATCCTGCTACCTTGCTGAATTCATTCTTCAGTTCTAGTAGTTTTTGTGTGAAGTCTTCAGGGTTTTATATACATATAGTATCATCATCTGCATATAAGGACAGTTTTACCTCTTCCTTTCCAATTTGGATGCCTTTTATTTCTTATGTGATTGCTGTGACTAGAACTTCCTAGTACGTTGACTAGAAAAGGTAAGAGTAGGCATCCTTGTCTTGTTCCTGAATTTAGCAGGAAGGCTTTCATCTTTTTACCATTATGTATATTTACCATTATTATATTGGCTGTGGGTTTGTCATTAAGTAGCTTTTATTATGTTGACATATGTTCTCTGTACCCACTTTGGTATAGGTTTTTTATCATGAATGGATGTTGAATTTTGTGAGATGCTTTTTCTCCATCTATTCAGATGATCATGTGTTTTTTGTCTTTTTTTTATTTGGTGTATCACACTGATTTATTTGCATATGTGGAACCATCCTTGTGAACTTCAGATGAACCCCACTGGTTGTGGTATGTGATCTTTTTTATGTGTTGTTAGATTCAGTTGCTAATATTTTGTTGAGAATTTTTACATCTATATTCATCAAAGATACTGGTTTGTAAATTTCTTTTCTGGTGGTATCTTTGTCTGGTTTTGGTATCAAGGTGATAGCTTCAAAGGATGGCTTTGAGAGTGTTCCCTCCTCTTCAGTTTTTTGGAAGAGCTTGAGAAGGATCAGTATAAGTTCCTCTTTGTATGTTTGGTAGAATTCACCTGTAAAGTCATCTGGTTCTAGACTTTCGTTTGTAGAGAGGCATTTTTTTTTACTCCAGTGGTTACTTAATTTTTTAACATTAATTTGTATTAGAGTACAGTCGCTTTACAATGTAGTGTTAGCCTCTGCTCTGCAGCAGAGTGAATCAGCTATCTATATGCATATCTCCCCTCGTTTTGGATTTCCTTCCCATTGAGGGCACCACACAGCATTGAGTAGAGGTCCTGTGGTGTGCAGGAAGTGCTCATTATGTATCTATTTCATACACAGCAGCATATATATGTTAACCCCAGTCTCCTAATTCATCCCACTCCCCCCGTCGTGCCATCGGTAGCCATACATTGTTGAGAGTTTTTAAATTAGATTCTATTTCAGTTCTACTGATTGGTC